CTCATTGAAGAATACAGTGTCTTTCAAGCCTCAAAACTGAAGGAAAAAAAACACAAAAGCATAATAAAAGTAGTCAGTATAACTCATTTTCTATATTCCAAGTCTTTTTTAAGCCATTCTGTTTTCTATTTTAGTATTTAAAAAAAATTAATTTATTGCTTTATTTGCAAGCGTCCACAATCATACATTTGCTGAATGGAAACGAGCAGCATGAACATTCTGCAAAATCTCTCATTATGTGTTCCACAAAAGAAAGATAAGGAAGTTTGGAACAATATGAATAAATAATGTATAAATGCAGATATAAAACATGTATAAATGATGACAGAATGTTTTTGGTTGAACTACTCCTTTTCACAGTTATTAAATTTGCCGCAATATCTGACAGATGTTAACATCACCTCTATCCAGACTAAAATGGCTGTTAAATATGCTCAGTGTGATGTACCAAGTTAAATATGCTCACTCAGTGTTTCAATTGGCGAGCACTTCACTGTGAAGTCTCCGTCACACTCATCCATCACACAAGCATCAGTGACAGATGGAAATAAAGCCTCATAAATATAAGCAAGTCTGGATCTTGTCATTGATTCCTTTGAGGGTTTCATTTTCACAGCACATAAATAAGCCACATTTGTTCCAGACTGTGTGTTTGTGTGTGTGTGTGTGTGTGTGTTAGTGCCCTTAAAGTGCTAAATGTCAAATGGGACATTGTTGCTGACTAAAAAAAAAAAGTCTAAATTAACCAATCAAATTCCCAAGAATAAATCCCGACAGATGTAGAGTGAAGTAGATGTTCCCAGAGCTGTAAAGTGGTTTGGAATGAAGCTGATCCAATCAATATTGTCTGAGGATTCTGTTAGGTCAGTATAATGTTAGGATTCCCTGTTCTATTCATGTGTGTATTGTGTGGCAAGAAAATGTGTCTAAGGCGCTATCAAACTGGGCTGGCCAGGCATTACTGTGGGAATCAAAGCACTAATCAATTTATACACACAGCTCTTGGTTTTATTTTACAAGTGATTCATATCATATAAAACGGCTCATATTTTCTAGTGATGCATATAAACTTGATTTCCCCTTCATCATTACTCCTTATCTTCTCTTTCATTCCTATCTACTCCTTCATCATTATTGCACTAGCCATCTGAGACAAATGAGCAAGCAAATGACAATAAAACAGTGAGAGCCAGAGAGTGCAATATAAAAAAAGGGACCTGTGGAATTGAAGCAAACACAGGTTTCATAAGCTTAAAATCACTTGCTTTTGTCATTTTCCAGGCAGGTTGATCCATCTCTGGCTGCGGGAGGAGTGAAAACGTTTAAAGAATGAATGAGGGTAAATTACTGCAGCGGTGCAGCCCAGCATGCCACGCAAGAAGAGCCAGACACAACAGCTCCTTCAGACAGACAGGCGGGCTGCAGCCCACAGGGTTGATGGACATCATGCATCAACTGCCCAGCCACTAGACAACAATCAGGCCTCTCTCAGAGGAGCAAACACACCGGCATACCAACACACAACTGCATCTTGTTCGTGTCAGTATATGCCTCTGGAATATGGGTATGGTAGGTCTACTTAAGCATTAATGCCGATTAAAAGCAATGTAGGGTATCAGACCGAATCAGACAATCTAAGATTTGGTCAAAACATGGTTGAAACACGAGGAGTCCAAATTCCACAGAGGCCCAAGACAACAGGATGCTCATAAATCAGAGCCTAGCCAGTCTGAAGCAAGCCTAACCAACTCTTTCACAGAACAGCTTTCAACATTAACATAAAAGGAACACACTGATCATAACAACTCAGGAAGGAGATTGTCAATTTTAGGGCAAGTAATCAAGATTAAATGGTCAAAGAGATGACCGCATGACCATCACGTGATAGTAACTACAATCACGAGCGCTTTAGAATTGACATCCCCCACCTAGGAGACAAAGAACAGACTTTCAGAGATTCCTTACAGACCTCTTAATCTCTGGTCTTCATACATTCACAGAATGGCTATAGAAACTGCCTTTCCATGCATCTAAATGACACTAAAAGGACTTATGAGCAACTAATCATTTCTATGCATAACTCCATATCATGTATGTAACCCACATGTGACTTATCAGGTCTTAATCATTTATTGTGTATGTATTTTTAATAACTATTGAATAGCTTAATGGTTCGTATTCATGTTTGGTATGTGTGAGTTTGAATCTTCTTGCTTGAAACTTTTCTTCCAATCAGTTCTTTGTCAAATGTATCATATTCTTGTTATAGAAATCATGTCCAAAACTATACTCGGCAAGAGTGGGAAAAGCGCGGACCATGTGACTGATAAGAGAACATTTGATTTATGAATGAGGAGAAACATTGCAACACCCCGAGCTACAATTGGTCGACACACCATTTGGGGTGTGTTAAATAGCCCAGTTTAAATACTCAGGACACCATCTTTCTCGCTCTTCCTTCTTGCCTTTTCGAGCCTTGTTGTTTTTTTTAAATCATGCTTCTTTAGCTTTTGAGCGTGCTCTGGCTTACATGCCATCTCCTCCAAAACCATGAGGAGAAACGCCACCTAGTCTCGTCAAACTTTACTTCTATTTCTATTTCTTTAGTTTATTTTATTTTCCGTTGAGAGTTTCGTGTTTCGAGTTAAGTTTGCCTAACGCCACATCTCCGAAAGAGTGCCATCTAAAACTTCAACTGCAGACCACAGCTCCGCGTCGTCAGCCAACGCCCAACCACTGGCTTCCCAAGACTGAACTTCCAGCCTATCAGAAAAGCGGGAAACCTCCCTGTTCTGCAAGGAGGACAACAAAGGGTACCCCCGGATACAGGAATGCAAGTACCTCCAGATCCTAGCTGAACTGGTGCATTTAATATATAAATTTTAACCTAATTGAGGAACTCAATGCGAGGGTTAATTAAGTGATTGATGGTTGTTCAGATCTATGCAATTGCACATATTGCTGTAAACTTGGGATTTCACATTTTTAAACTCTTAAACTAATTATTTCCTCACTTTCTCTCTTTCTGCAACTTGTGTGAATGCGTGTGTTCATGTGTTAGATTAATTTATATGTCTTAGATTTATCCAATAAAGCCTTATTTATATTGAAAAGAGAAGTATCTCGTGTTTTGTGCTCACAAGTTAATGTCTTAAACTGCCAATCTTGTTACTGTGCTAATTAATAGTGTTTTCACTATATTTTGGATAGAAATATCCATTGCAGAATTGATGTCATACGGCTCGTTCACTGAATCGCTGGCCGTCTCAGTGATCAGCCGTAAAACAGTGATTCTGTCCAAATTCCCTTACATATTATTGGTGGAGTTCCCTTTAAAATCTTAAATGATTCCCTTTGAGCTAAATTGACCTGTTTCCCTTACAGCAATCATGCTGAGTAATTGCTAATTGTACTTATACATAGAGATTATAGCTAAAGCAAATCAAACCCATATATAAACTCAATCATCTGATGTACCTTCCATCAGCGAAAAAATTTAAGCATAAAACTTGTTTCAAGTGCTACTTTTAAATTAAATTAGAATGTATGAATTAAATGAATCACATATTTTCCAGTTGTGTGCAACAACTTTGTGTGTTAAGAACTATTTTATAGAGATCACACTTAAGAGTAATTTCTAGATGAAGAAGTATACAACTAGAAAAATAGTTTGGGGTCAGTCATTTTTAAAGAAAATTATATTTTTATTCAGTAAGGAAGCATTAAATTGATCAAAAGTAACAGTAAAGGCATTTATAATGTTATTTATAAGAATTTCTATATAAAAAAAAGTTTTTCTTTCGAACTTTCTATTCAACACAAATGTTTTAAATATTGATAAGAAATATTACTTGTGCACCAAATCAGCATATTAGAACGATGATTTCTAAAGAATCATGCAACACTGAAAACTGGAACAATGACAGCTGAATATTCAGCTTTGCCACCACAAATCATAAATTAACATAAATGAGCATCATATAAATTAACATCATAAATTAAATTGGAAAATGTATTAAAATAGAAAGAGTATTTACAATTGTAATAATATTTCACAATATTTCGTTTTTTTTGTAAGGTTTTTTTGTATCAAATAAATGCAGCATTGAAAACAGGAGAATACGAGATTTCTTTCAAAAAAATCTTAACAACTACAAAGTTTTGAACAGTAGTGTATATTTATCTATGGAAGTTAAAATGTATTAAAATATTGCTCATTTTCATGGGAAAAAAATCTAATTCCTTGATATTTCTAGATTTTGAGCACTAACTTTTATATTCAATATAGATCAATATTAAATATTATTAAAAATATTATATTCAATATAGAAATATACATTACATTTCAAGGCCTGGAAATTATAACATGATTTAATTAAAAAACTAAAATAAAATGAAATGACCGGAAATGTCACGGGAAAATGTGGTCAAAACATAATTTAAAGCATTTGATGAACATATGAAGATCTGCGGTCTAGCATTAGTTAGGCTATAACCTTTAGCATTTAATAATGAGAATTTATTGCCTGGCTCTTAGCACATCTGTCAATACTCCCTCCTCTACTCCCGTCTCTCCCATTTGCATGTGAGCATGGCTGGTCAAATTCTTTCATTTTTCAAACCATCTGTAACTATTTGTAGTAGATACTGTTGTAATATCTCTGTCAAGCTGTCAGTTTTGTGCTCAGTGATGTGGCCTTGGGGACTCAGTCCCATTTAAACAAACAGCATCAAGTCAAGACGGACTGATGTCCTTTCCTTTCAGTACCGCAGATGGCAATTCCCAAACAATCCAGCACCAGCGCTTTATTATCATCATGATGTGAGATACAGCACCACCTTGTGTATACCAGTCCCTAATGCATTTGATGGTCAAGTAATCAAAAATCACTCTTCGCATTTCCTGAGATTTGGAGAAGTACAAAATTCCCAGTTCTCATATTTTGTTTTGTATAACAACGGCACATTACGATATATCCATCATACGGACATAAACCTACCATGGAAGATGCTGTTGTCAGCCAGAAAATGGCGGCAATACTGTGGGCTTCCATGCTTGTCCATCTTCCTGTAGCTCATGATGGGATCCAGGAAGGATGGAGAGTGGAATATCTGTAATGGAGAGAGAAAAAAAACAGATGTTTAATTTCTGTTGTTAAATATACAGTATAGCTTATTAAACAGCATCCAGCAATAAATTAAAATATGCATTTTGTATACATGAAGACATTCAAATGGTAAAGGTTTTGACCCATGTGCTATGACAGCTAGAGGTTGATGTTCAGTCTCACGTCTTGTCAGGCACAAAGCGCTCTGATTGGAAATGACAGGTGCAGACCTACAGTTGCAACACTGATTGGAGAAAGGCAAATAAGCAGGGAATGAAAAGGAGTGTGTATGTGTTAGGGATGCACGGTATATCGGCCACCATATCGGTATCGGCCGATAAATGCTCATTTTTTCTGTTATCGGTATCGGCCTGATAAGAAAATTTGGCCGATATCTTAAAGCCGATAAATAATGCATTATTTCCTTCAGAGACACTTCAGATGCGCGCTGTTCGTTTGCAGCCTTTTGTGCAATTGTACGTTGTAATATTGTGTTTATTTGATGTATATCTGATTTATCTCATATAGAATGCATTTGGTTAAGTTAAAAAGAGCGCTTCAGTTTACCGGTGATCATCTTTAGCTCAGCGCACGCAGCTCAAACAGCAGTGCACAACATTAATAACTATGATTGGGAGTGTCGTGTATATAACATTCTAATGAGAACGTTTTTATAATAAAACGTTGTGAATTCTATGGGTTTAGTTGCTTTGTTTTCACACACAGCATCACACATTCTGACTATAGCACGCAATAACTGCGTCATTTTGTACATATATAAGTTGTAATATTATGTTTATGTTGTATTAATATTAATCTCAGCATGCATTTCCTGGAGTTAAATAAGCTGCCAGCAAAACGCTTCAGTTTACCATGTTCATTCAGCTCTTCAGCTTCAGCACGCGCAGCTCAAACGGCTGCTATTTAAAACAGTGGTATTAATTTGTTACTTTTTCAACATCATCAAGTCTTAATTTAATGCATCCTTGCTGAATAAAGACATTATAAAAGCATTAATTTCTTTCATTTCTTTAAAAAAAATTGACCCCAAACTTTTGAAACACTGATAATAATAATAATAATAATAATAATAATAATAATAATTTGAGGTATTTTGGAGTACCATATACTGTAAAAAACCAAGGCAGATTAATATTATAATCATTCAGTACCATTGTTTATGCACTACCATTTAAAAGTTTGGTGTCAATAAGATTTTCTTTTAAGAAATGAATACTTTTATTTAGCAAGGATGATCAAAATTAAATTGATCAAAAGTGACAGTAAAGGCATTTATAATGTCACAAAAGATTCTATTTCAAATAAACGCTGTTCTTTTGAACTTTCTATTCATCAAAGAATCCTGAAAAAATGTATCACAGTTTCCACAGAAATATGAAGCTGTTTTCAACATTGATAACAATCAGAAATGTTTCTAGAGCAGCAAATCAGAATATTAAATTATTTTCTGAAGCAAGCAGAAGAGACTGCTTTTAAAAACATTTAAAAAAAATTATAAACTTACCATTATAAAACTTTTGACTCTTCCATAGATAAAAACTATACAATATGCAGTTTTCTACCCATAATTGGTGGAATGAAGAGCACGTGGAGCTGGATCAGAACAGAAACTATTCACTCCTACTAGAGCCCCCCACAAAGTCTATGCGTTTGACCCTTTGGCCTCAGTCTGCACTAATTTCCTGAAACAAGCTGAAATCAGACACTAAAGCAGGAGCCGACGGGGGTCTTGCTTTTTCCGGAACTTTCTCCCTCAGGATGTTCCCATAAATCACCAGCAGACAGACACGCAACAGGTGCTGCTGGAGAAAAAAAACGTAACAGAACAGTAACAGAGATGCAAACTTTACTTTAAAACTTACAATACTGTACAGACAGTTCAGGAAGAGACTCCATGGGAGGTATTTCAAAGAGAAAGGTCAAAATCAGGGACAATGTCATATTTAGAGCATCCCTGATGTGTATGTGAACCACAGAGCCAAGATTCTAGACAAATCGACAAAAAGGCGGATCTCAAAGTCTCTAAAACATGCTGTAAATGTGATCCATATGGCCCAGGAGACCTGTTTCAAACCCTCGCTCAAATTAGCTCTCCTGGTTTCTCTCATCTTGTGATTTGTCGCTTCCTGTCAGAATAGCTGGAATATAAACGTGAGGGTAATCAAAAGCTGTCACGTGCTTGAGAAATGTATTCCTGTGACTATGAGGCATATTAGCTATGGGATAAGAGGCTAGCAGCCCCTTTCAGCAGGCATCATCCACACAGAGGGAGAAAATTGAGAATGATTATAGTGTCAGAGTGTGGTAATGTGAGCGCTTGGCTTTTCAATAAACCATGCTGTTTGCACTGTCATAAGAAAGTCCCATCTGCCCCTGAGGAACACAATCTGGTTTGGTGGCATCCCATTATTAGGAAGTGGAAAATATAACCTTCCTGGATTATGTAAGGCCTGCGTCTCTAGCTTCTGTTGCAAAAGCAAATCAAGGTGGACTCATTTCAGTAACAAGGCTCATTGAGGGTGAGTTTGATGGACAGTGGTCATATTTCTGTGTTGAAAATCAATACATATCACTAAAGGTTTTAGGCGCATTCACACTGACAATTAAATAGCTGGATGTTTGGCAAGTTGCTGTATTGTTGGCATTGGTCTGTTGTATTAACCATATCTGGGGGTAGATCGCTGCACATTTGCATAAATCAGTCTCTGTCACTAATGTCACCTCCAACTGCAAGTCCTCATCAAAATCAAATGACTTCCAGTTGGTTTTAGAGTGTAAACACTCAGCATAAATGCCCCTTTAGTCATCAGTTGTGCATTTATCTTGTCAAGTAAGAAATTAGGCACAATTAATGATATTTATCTCTCCTAAATTGAATTTTAAAACACTTGGCTGCATGTTATGGCGCCAACACGACTTTTAAAGTCATCAGATTGCTGTTCTTTCATACTACACAACAGTCTGTCATCGCTCGTCACTCAAAACACATTTGTGACCCTGGATCACAAAACCAGTCTTAAGTCGCTTGGGTATATTTTTAGCAATAGCCAAAAAAAACATTGTATGGGTCAAAATGATCTATTTTTCTTTTATGCCAAAAATTATTAGGATATTAAAGGGGTCATATGATGCGATTTCAATTTTCCCTTTCTCTTTGGAGTGTTACAAGCTCTTGGTGCATAAAGAAGATCTGTAAAGTTGCAAAGCCTAAAGTCTCAAATCCAAAGAGATATTCTTTATAAATTTAAGAGTCAACCACGCCTACCTAAAACGGCTCGTTTAAACACGCCCCCACATATCTACGTCACTGTGTATGGAAATAAATGTTATGTTCCAGGCTGTACAGGGGATGTGATGTGCAGGGATGGGTTGGTGTCTGCATTCAGAAACGTGAGCCACTAAAGGGACATGGTTAGCTGCTTGCTAGCGGTAGCCTGTTACATTACAGTACATAAGATTTCACTTACCACATAAACAGAGTTAGGAGAGATGACTGAGGATGATGGCGAATGATTTACAGATCCTGAGCACCACTGACAAGCATCTGATCTTGTAAAATGTGTGGTAAGTACTGCCGCTGTAGTTTACACAAAGCACGTGCGATCGCAAATCTCGAAAGTGAAAGTAAAAAGCGATCATGCATTCGAAAGCAGTTTCAATGCCCCGCATATTAATAGCTGCTCCCCGATGCCCGCATTTTATATACAGTATAATTACCCAACAATATAACTGCGAGAGACAGTATTGAAATATATATTTTCCCTGTTTCCTTCCTGCTGTGTGAGCTACTGAAATGAGCTGCACTGTGAAACAGCCAATCAGAGCAGAGCTCAACATTATTATTCATGACCCTTCCAAATAAGGTAAAAACAGACCATTTCATTCTAGGGACAAATCCTAGAGTTGTAAATGGACATGTAAAACCGTTTTTTTCGGGAGATTTTTTTGCCCTTACCTAAGCCACATACCTTCTATGTAGATATCAGAGAACAATTTAAAATATTGTATCAATGCATTCTATGGCACCTTTAAAGATAAAGTTAAAAAAACAAACATCTCAGATATATAGTCATCATTATGAGAAATAATGTGGAAATTACAAATATATAAGGTCACACTTTATTTTAAGGTCCAATTCTCATTATTTACAAACCATTAACTATGACTTTTGCCTCAATAAACTTCTAATTGGCTGCTTATTGATAGTTAGTAAGTTAGGATTTAAAGTAGTTAGTTGGGTTAGGGATGTAGAATATGGTAATGCAGAATATGTGCTTATAAATAAAGAGTCAATATGTTAATAATAGACATACTAATAAGCAATGAGAACTGCTCCCTACACTAAAGTGTTATATATATATATATATATATATATATATATATATATATATATATATATATATATATATATATATATAAACACCCATTTCCAAAAAAGTCTATTAAACATGATAAAATGCAACAGAAAATATAAAATGGTTATGATTAACATGCTTGATGTTTTCCAAATGAAATAAAAAAATGAATGAATAAATAAATAAATACAAACGTATTGTCTGTGCACTTTATTACATACATAGATCATTTTATATCAATAAATGAATTTCTTAAATTTGTGCTGCATTCACGCCATTTCAAAAATACTATAACTACTAAATGACAAAATGGGACGTTTCACTCCCATTGTCTCCCGTTAAGTTGTCCTTAGATTCTCAGAATTATGTATTTCTATGTCAACAATATTAATGGCAAAATTAATGTCGGAGTAATTTGAGTAATCAATGGACAAAATTATTATGTAAATGTATTATTCATAAACTTATAGTTTATTTAGCAAGGCATTAGAAAGTTAATCAACACTGTGCTATATTAATCGGTATTGTGATTGTCATTCATTTACTTTCAGATTATTCTTACATTATCAAAACATTTACAATAGTCAATAATGGGAAATATTAAAGAGAATTAATATTAAAAAACTGCTGTACTACATTTTACAACTAAAAGTCAGTGTTTCAGTTTCAGTATGACCTAGCAATGGTCAAGTGGTACAAGTTGGAGTTCTCTGAAGTTGTATAATGCAAGTTCTGCAAGAACATCTCAAAATCTTGTAATTACTTATGGTTATTCAAACACTGAACGAAAGCACCTTAATGATGGCCACTAGGAAGTGCCTGCATTAAGGTGGCCCTGACTGAATTCTGACTGATCTGTTAGGCTTAAAATTAAACACTCAAGTGACAAACATATCAACTTCAAGAAAAAAAAGGAATTAAAAAAGTTTTTAAAGTTTAAAGTGAACTGAATGAATGCATTAAAAGTCTGAAACATTCTTGGCTTGAACTGATACAGTAGGAGTGGCAGGCACATTTATATGACCCAGAACTAGTGACAGACACTGGGATCTGTTTCAAGGCTGCCGAGGACTAACTTCACTGAAGCCACACTGAGAACACAAAGAATACAGTTAACATGCCTTGTCTTCTGTTCTCGGAGAATAAAAGCTAAATAATTAAGCGGGTCTCCGCTTCCACACAGAAGCTTGTTTGCCGCCCCACGCTACACCCGAGCAGGGGAGCAAAATGATACGCTGTGCTTGGAAAACACTGGAGTCATTTTACCCCGCACGTTCCAATACACAGAAATATGCATACACTTTGAATAGAAGCTCTTTGCAGAGACAAATACAAGACTGTCTTGGTTGCAAAACCTAACCTTTCCGAAGTGTGTGTCTGACATTTATTTCACTATAATGTGATGCTCTATATGGGGTGTCTTGTGTAGCCACATACAGGTCACTTAATAAAAAAAATAACGTCAGTGTATCAATTTATAACAATAATTTAAAAACAAAAAGTGATTTCAAAGAGATTAATCAGTTACGGGTTAAACCTCAAGAGTGTCATCTTGTTCAATCTCTGAGCTTTTTTATTGAGCTCCATTTTGGCAGATTTAGAGACAAAGATGGCACACAATAATTCTAGGTCCATATTTGTCTGGTTAAAGTCTGAAAATAATATATGGATTTGGAGAAATGTTGAACATGAGAGACAGTGATTGTTGAGGCTTCAGGGAACAGCACACACCCAGATAAATTTACCAGCCTGCAAAGTCAGTACACTCTGTCGACATGTGTTTGAACAAGTTTTGACTTACTCTCTGAACATTACATATAACACAGAGCAGTCACCTCTGCACATGAGTGGTGATTTGAACAAATGCCCCCTGGATTCTGCGAAACCCCTCCACTGGACCCGAAGACCACCTGCGCTTTTGCTTTTTTTTATGCCCCCCTCTGGATATGTAATGCATTTATAATGTCATGTCAATTCAACCATCTGCCAAACAGTACACCAAGAAGACTATGTGAGTAAGTAAATAATAAATGTACTGTTTAAAACGTTATTCCTACAGGATTTTTAACATTGCACAACAAAGGTCTATATATATATATATATATGAGGCCGTTTTAATATATATATGAATAACGTACAACAGTGCATTTATTATTTACTTGTGTGTGTGTGTGTATGTACAGTATGTATGCATGTATGTATGTATATATATATATATATATATATATATATATATCGTTCACTGACACTGTATAGACAGTTCATAACGTTTTAAACAGTACCTTTATTATTTACTTACTCTGTGTGTGTGTGTGTGTGTGTGTGTATATATATATTGTATATCGTTCACCGACACTGTATAATATAGACAGTTCATAAGAGTAAAATATAAAGGAGACAAAAAAGGAAAAAGTGAAACTTCTTCGCCTGGTACCGTTCAAACGTGCACCTGCTCTCAACAAAGAACGGAGACAAATCACTTACTTCAGTTTCTCTCACTCAGGAGTTTGCTTATAGTTCCGCTTTGGTTACAAAGTCAGCCTTGACTCTTTTCATGGAAACATTGTGTACTTATTTTCCTCTACACACGCGCGTTTCCAGGGTTCTCCTTCCCAAGTGCAGTTAACTGTAAGTCTCCGCTCTCATTCAAAAGCTCCGGACTGGTAACTGACCGGAGCCGAGAGGAGCAGCCGCAAAAACAGGTGCGGACTTTTAGGAACGGACTGACAATGAACGACAATAAGCAGGAACAACAAATATCATCACGCGACAATTAATACGGTATTCAGTTTGCCAGTAATATGAATCCGTTCCTGTAGCATTTTAAAGGCATGTTTCAACAAAACTCAAACACCGAGAACTTACAAGTGGACTATTTATTATTATTTTTATTTTTTCAAAAAATGTTAGAAAGCTAGGTAACACTTTAGTATAGGGACCAATTCTCACTATTAACTAGTTGCTTTTTAGTATGCCTTTAATAACATATTAGCTGTTTATTAGTACTTATAAAGACCATATTCTACATCCCTAATCTTACCCAATACCTAAACATAACACCTTCCTTTACTAACTATTAATAAGCAGCAAATTAGGAGTTTGTTGAGGCGAAAGTCAATGTTAATGGTTTGTTAATAGCAAGAATTGGACCTTAAAGTAAAGTGTGATCGAAAGTTATTTATTTCTATTAATGAATACTTCTATTAGGTATTACTGAAAAATAAACAGGATAAAATAAAATAGTATAACAATAAAACGCTTGTTAGAAAACATTGCCTCTATTTTTGACCAAACTAAATAATAATATAAACTATGATATAAAACATAAAATGTGAAATTTACTTACTATTCTATTCATAGATGCTATATTTTGAAATAAATTTGCATTTCAGTGTGCTATCACAAAACCTCAAATGTGAGAGTTGTAAATTCAGTCGAGGAGTTTAAAATTCCAAGCTTAGAATTTGATACAATGAGAAGAGAGGAATTCTGTTCCCCCTCCCGCATGAAAACAAAGGGCATATTTTCCTGTCACACATCTCTCACTCCTTCCACAGTTTCCAAAGGTCTTTCTGTGTAACCGCCCATGTACTGAGTCTGGGTTCAAAGTCTGCTAGTCTCATACCCACTGCACCTTTACAATTCAAACCGTCTGTCCAATAAGAGTAGAGCATCTCTGCCATAGTCGCAAGGGACAAAACAAAGGCTGAAAGGAGGGGGCAGGCAACTTCCCCGGTCATTCCCTCCCCCTTCTGCCCATTAGAGTAGATAGACTCTTACCATTGAGAACTGAGGAGAAAACAAAACCCCAACCAGAGGACCTGCGCTCTCACTGTTGAGCAAACCACTGGGAGGGCCTTTAGATGTTAGCCTCTTTTTAGAGTCTAACAAGTCTGAGACTACATATTCTCTCTGAGTTGTGATTTGTTTGTTGTTTTTCAGAAAATGAACCCACCAGGTATAACTTTGAGACAATAAACCAGAATGACTTCTATTATGTTGAGACACCAGATTTGTGTAGTTGGTACATGCAACACTGGCATATTCACTTTCACAAAATCTTGTTGACATTCCAAATGTGTTTCTTTAGTCACGGTCAATGAAACAAGTACGATTCAGCTACAACTGTCTTCTGATAATATTACCTCTGCTAACATTTCTGAATATTAATTGTCTTTTAAACCTTTGTCTTCATCTTTTAGATAAGTTTTCTTCCATTCAAGCACCTTTTCCCCTCTTCTAGGCTCTTTTCCCCATCTCCAAAGTACTAAGGCCTTTAGGACCCTGAGAAGGTGGCACCCCCAGTGCACTTTGTCTTGTGAGTGTGATGTTTCTATAGTAATGGGGATCCCTCCTCCTCATTGTCTCCATAGGGGCATCGCTAGACCCCCACTGCCATGTCATCGTGACAAAGCACTCCCCCCGCCTCCCCAGGGAAAGAGAAAACCGAGAGGTCTGTGGGATATGGATTTATGGGAGGAGGGATAAGTACAAAGGCTTTCCGGTTGTCAGGAATATGACGATGGTGTCCAACGCTACAGGTGTAGGACAGCATGAATAATGTGATGGATTACACAAAACTGCAACGTGTTAAGAACGTCTGTCTTCATGTTGGGTAAATAAGGACATGTGTGAAGAGACAGGTCAAAGTAATAAGCATAAAAACACATGGATGATTCAATCATTTCAAGTTTAATTGCTGCTAACCTTATCCATGAAGTTCAGGTCTGAGATCAGCAATATAGCACATTTAGAATAAATACTTCAAACAAAACAACTCTGCACAATGAATAACCAACCTTGTTTTGTTTTTTGAAAAGGGAATATTTCACTTCTCTTTAGCCCCTGACGTCCATTTGAAGAGTTTTTTAACCGAGATGAAGAGCAGATTGCTCCTCAAGACATTAGCAGCTCTCTCCCAGCGACTCTCTTCCTTCCACAGGCCTTTCCCTTTTTTCTCTGCTCTGCTCTCGGCCCTCAGAAAGCGCTTATAGAGACGCCAGTAGACCCGAGAGTGAGAGTCCAGACCCACAAAAGGAGAAGTCCTAGCCAATCCATGCCTCAAAAGTTCCTCATTCACACAGGTGTTAAAGAGTGAACCCTAGAGAGAAATTCAATGCAATGTGGGTTTAAAGGATTTTCTCTCTTTTTTTAAGCAAAATGTGACTAATAACATAAACAATTATAATATTTATTATACATTTAATCATTTAGATTTAGAATTTATTCATTCAGAATTGTTATTCATTTTTCCAGTTGCTTGTGATTACTGTGTTTTAACAATCAATTTATAGAAACTGCATATAGAAATACAAAGAGCAATTTCTAAAAAAAGGAGGACAAAAATATAACCAAGTAGAAATTTTCACTGTAATTAATACTCTAAGACTTTTCTAGGCTTAGAAACAACACATTTGAAATCCCCTGATATTTCCAGCTTTCCATGACTGTGTTCCATGAACCCTGTTTAACTTGTATGATATTAGATCTAAAGTGGTGGTTCTTAACCACGGGGCCAGGACTCACTAGGGGGCCTCAAAACTCAAAATGATTTAAAATAAGGAGGGGGGGGGCATTAAATGCAGGCTAAACAAATCAAGATATTTCTTATTTCAACTCCTTCCTTCAACTGGTTCTCAACTTTTTTTGTCTTAGAAGAGCCCAGGCTTCTTTAAAATAAATAAATAAATTCCAGATCGATAGATCGATAGATAGATCTCATAACTCTGTGGCCATTTTTATAATAAATATACTTCTTTATAAGTTATGCCTAGCTCCAAAATAATAAGGTAAAATGGTTGAGTATACGTAAGTAAATAAGCAAGTAAATAAATAAATAAATACATACATACATAAATAAATAATCCTTATCCAGTAAATCACAAACAGCTGGAAACATAACTGGGTCTTTCTTTGAATACTGTTGTGGAAAATTGGGTCTTGCAGCCAAAAAGGCTGAAAACCACTGCTCTAAAGTGTCTTTTTTCCCTATCAAAGCCTCTCATTTGTCAAGCAAACAACTTTCACGGTGGCATCTGACCCTGTGCTAATCTGGTATATCGCACCTACCCTGTTAACCGACACTAGGCAGTGGAGGGTCTCGTTCTGCCGAGTGATCAGTTGGAGCCACACTGTCTCAGCTGGTTTCAGCTGTTGACCAATCCAGTCCTGCCCTTCTGCGGTCAGCTCCACTCCAGCCAGACGCACATCCAGAAGGGTCATGGACTGACCTGCAGAAGACAGTGTGAGTTGTCATCTCTAGCCAACAACCCATTAAAACGCTATATCAACAAGACTCTATTTCAAAGAGCTTTTACGAAGGGAAAACAGTTTATGGAGTCAGTTTAAAGCAGCGAGACATCTGAAGGATTTAAAGAAAGGATCATTTTCTGTGTCTGGGAGGACCATTATGTGAACAAGACCAGTAAGGTCATGCTATCCTGATGAGTATTAGTCTCTGTGGTGTACAGGAGAAAGCTAGTACAAGCACCAAGAGGTCAAGCTTAACAAGGCCATCTGTGAATCACAGTGACATTGAAAGACATAATCGTCTTAGCTATCCTTCAGGGAGTTGATATGTGACCGGTATCGCACATTTAGATCACATCTAAACTCATTTTGAAGGCGGGTCCATAATAGAATTACTCTGACTGCCTCTTTCCACTAACTGATTTACAGAGATTCATTTGAAAATACTGAAACACAATCTTGTAGATGTGCAAATGTTAACAACAAATTAGTGGCAATTTGATATAGTTCTTTGATATAGGTTTTGCAGGGTTTGGAGTGTAACAACCAGACGACAAGAGAGAGAGAAATCCTATGTGCTTCATTGACTTATGTTAAAAGGCCAATAAGTTAATGGGCTTGAATCCAAGTTCAAAGGCAAAGTCACTTTTTTTAAGCAGGAAAAAAAAAACTTCTCTACACTTACTGACACAGCAGGAAATCCACAATTATGAAACCCGATAAAACTGTTTCTAAGAGAAACAGGCTTTTAAAGATTGAGTCATAATTGAGACCAGCTGTTGAGATGAACACATTGGTCCCTGTGACAGCTGTGAAATAAATGTGCAGGCCTACTGAAAGGACATTTAATTAAAGTGTGTGAGGGGGTCTTCCTGAAGGACTGCAAAAGGGGATCAAGTGGTTCCTTACGTTTAGTAAGCAGGCGACTGAGCAAAGGGACATAAATTGGAATGTGTTCCACTTCAAGCCCTTTTTCGGTAATATTTCTTAGTCTTCCTCTGATACTGATGTTTCTCTCAATGAATCGTGCTGGAATATCAGCTGCAGAGCCAAATTTTGTAATCTGCAAAACAAAGACAGGAAAATATGATTAAGAAAAAAAAAACATTAACAGTTTCAGGGCAGTAGGAGCATTTGCTGGTGAATGCCATAACTACACCGTCATGCTGGAAGAAAGCATGTTTTCCCATTAAAATATCAGGCATAACATGTCACAATTACCTGTTTTTGTTTACATAATATGTGTGTGTGTGTACTAGGGGTAGAACGGTTCGCGGAAAAGAATCGTACGGTTCTCCGCACACGGTTCGGCACGCGCTAGGACCGCGGTTCAACTTAAATCTGACAACGCATCTGTAATATGGTT